CAGTTATGAAGTGGTTTGTAATGTCTAGCTTTCCTGGCCAATCACTGTTCTTGTTCTGAGAACCAATCAAATGTTAGTAACTGCCTGTAGAAGCTGACATGTTTACACTTGAAACAATTCATTATTTTGCTTTGTTCTGTGGAAGGAGGACCTGTTTCTTATACACTGCAATTACAAGTAGGAATTTTTGTAAAAAATTTTAATATTTTAGTCAAGAAGCAATGACATCAAATAAAAGAGTAGATTGGACACCTAGAAAGAGATGTAATATTATTGTGTTACGAGAAAATGGTCTTTCCTATGCTGAAATTGCAAGACAAGTGGGTGGTTCAGTGACTACATCTGGAGTCCGAAAGTTTTGTTTACGATATCAGGAGACAAATTCAATAAAAAACAAAGGAAAAGGCCGAAAAAGGTGCACCACATCTATTGATGACAGAAGAATAAAAAGACTATGTCTCCAAGATAGAAAAATGTCATCAGCGGCCATCAGAAGTGATATTAATGATGCTGGTGTTTTTGTCAGTTCAAGAACAATCAGGAGAAGATTAACAGATGTTGTACTGAGACGCAGAATTCGACGAAAAAAGCCTTATCTTAATTTTCAGCAACGGGAAAAAAAAAAAAAAGACTACAGTGGGCAAAGGAACACATTAATTGGACAGATGATCAGTGGTCACAAGTTATATGCAGTGACTAAGATATCGTTATTCAGTAGTGATGGGCGAAAATATGTAAGACGTAGACTAGGAGAAGAGCTACATCCTGACTGTATTCAAGCAACTGTGAAGAACCCAGTTAGTGTTATGTTTTGGTCATGCATGTCAGCAGATGGTATTGGTCGCCTTCATGTCATCGATGGGACACTGAATGCCAGAAAATACATTGACACTATTCTAGAACCAAAACTTCTACCTTCCATCAGAGATCTCTTTCCCAACAATGCTTCGTTTATTTTTCAGCAGGATTCTGCTCCTTGCCACACGGCCAAAATATCAAAAGAGTGGTTTCGTAAAAAGAGCATTAAATTGTTGTCATGGCCAGGAAACAGTCCTGATCTCAAGCCTTTCGAAAATTTGTGGCACCGTTTGAAAACTCTTGTCCGAATGAGGCGCCCATCAAATAAAAAGGCACTAATTGAGGCTATAATTGTTTCCTGGCATCATGTAATAACGAAAGAAGAGCTTAAAACTCTTGTCAGCTCAATGAAACGTCGATGTGAAGCTGTAATCAAAAATAAATTGTACCCTACTGAGTACTGATAACTCACTGCAATCATCACTATCTAATGTATATCGATAACTATTATCGTTTAAACTTTTTTTGTATTGCAAAAAATTGAATTTTGTATTGAATTCAGTAATAAATTCTCTTTAAAATGATATACACAAGTTTGCATTTTGTGAAACGTAACGTTTTCTATAAGCATACAAATTTCAAAAACATAAAAATTTCTAAAAGTGTCCACAATTTTGGATGTATAAACGTAAAAAAGCAAATTTAAAGTTAAAATAACGTGCAAACAAATAAAAGAATTAAATTTTGAACTAATTTACAATATCATTTAAATTCAGATAGTATAAGTAAATCAAGTGCAAAACCAAAACATGAAAATAAATTCACCAATTTAGGAAATTAAAATTTTTTCTAGATTTATATTATTTAAATATTTTAATATTAAAGATAGCAGCTTGGCACTCAACTTTACTTACATTAGCACCACCTACATAATTTGCAGAACACACATCACTTAGGAAATACTTTTGCAGACCCCAACGCTTATATGGTAGGTAAGTTAGTATTAAAACTTACTACAGCCAAAAGTCATTAATCCGGACTCGTCGGGACTTCGGCGATTCCGGATTATAGATCATCAGTTTAAATCTGGTAAGATGGCATGCAGAAATTACAAAATAAGAAACCGTAATTTATGAAATAAAGAACAATTATGATCTAAAGGGTGTAAAGTTTATAATTGGGTGCCCCTTGTTTACTGGCGATTTTTTTTTTTGACGCCACGACAGGAAGGCACAATTTCAAGATGGCTGCTACACAAAACCAAAATAAGAAGTCAAAGAATTGCACAAGATCTGTGTCCATGTACATATCAATCTGTTTTTACTTGAAAAAACATCCTAGAATTGCACAAACTAGGCATTGCACACTGCCTTATATATGTCCATGTACACATCAATCCATTTTCATTTAAATAAAACCGGGAAGCTAAAACAAAGTTAAAACTATCGTGGTAACCAGAAGTGAGGTTTCATTGCCAAAATTTTTTAAAAAATTGTCGCCAATCAAAGGGGCACCCAATTCTACACTAGAGCACTAAAGGGTATCAAAATTTATAAAAAGAAAAAGCTTAATATTTATTTGTTTACTTTATTAAACATTTCTTTCAACACGCGCATAATCGAAATTAGAAAATTGCAAACAGAAAACTACTTGATGTGTATTCATGATATATATAATGACGAGGAATTTGATTTAAATCATATCAAAGACGGAGTACATCGAGATGAAATACTACATTTACTAAGGAATTATAAGCCAAATAAAATAAAAACATCTGCCCTGAAGATAAGGATAGTGCTGAGAGATCAACTTCCAATTCATTGTGCGCCATGACGTCCCCACCCCGGCCGCAGAGCAGCGTGAAATTGATAAACGGATTTCGAAACATACTTCCGCTTTGTAGATTCTTTACATATTAGTAAATATATATCGGAAATTCTATTTGACATAATCGAAAGTTCAAGCTTACCTTTATAAAATTGCTCTAACGGTCTGCAAAAAATAATAAGCCGGATCCAATTCGAAGATTAAGGAACAACGCAATCTGCAACATTAATTGAATTAGATAATTTTAGCTTAGCTTATACCCTGTGTTATACATTAAATGCGCATGCGTAAACGTATTATGCGCATGTGCACACACATATTCGCAGCCGTAAAGGTCTTACGCGCATGCGTAAACGTATTATGTGCATGTGCACATGCATATTCGCAGCCGTGAAGGTCTTACGCGCATGCGTAAACGTATTATGTGCATGTGCACATGCATATTCGCAGCCGTAAAGGTCTTACGCGCACGCGTAAATGCCTATGCGCATGCGTCAACGTGACGCATGAGCAGAAAGTTTGTAGCTTTGAGGTCCGGATTATGGGTGTTTGAATTAACAACTTTTGACTGTATTTACTAGCTTTTAAGTATTTTCTATGTAGTATTTAAGTATTTTCTAGATATGTAATTATTTTTAAGTATATATTTGGTTTTTATAAATTATGAATTAGTTCTTTTTAGTTACTTCTTGGTTTATATTAATTTGTCTAGTTCCTTTTTGATTAATATGCATATTTGTGTTGGGGAGGTTTCTGTAAACAAGGGTTTCTAAAATGCATTAGTTTCTAAATTAATTTTTCTGGAAAATTTAATTTTTAAAAAAAGTTTAATTTAATACTAATCCTTACATTGCTTATTTCTCAAAATATTTCATTATTGGTATTTTCCTTTAGACATTTAATTTTAATTGCTAAATACACAAGGTACCACTTAGTTGGTATTTCTTTTTGGACATTCTTCACTACTTTTGGTTTTGACTTTTACCCTTGCTTGCATGAATGACGAAACACGAATTGAATGATTGAAGAGTTAGGTTAGGAGGCAACTTCCCCTTGATAAGTCTGTCTCCTGCCTGCTCAACAGTCATTTACTTATGCATTTAAAAAAAAAAAAAAAAAAAAATTTAGATTAATTTCAATTTGCTAAATTAGTGAATTTATTTTCATGTTTTGGTTTTGCACTTGATTTACTTATACTATCTGAATTTAAATGATATTGTAAATTAGTTTGAAAATTAATTCTTTTATATGTTTGCACATTATTTTAACTTAAAATTTGCTTTTTTATGTATATACATGTTTGTTAAAATTTAAATTTCATTCCTTGCAGCAATGGCACAAAGAATTAATTAAATTTCTATTTATTCAATTTATTCTTTTGAAACAATATATATATTCATTCCGCCTCTGTTACTGGTTTTATACTTTGCGAATTGTGCACTAGAAATATGGGCTAATCTTTGGAATACGGTAACAGGTAGTATGGCAACATTTTGGTAAGGCGATAAAGGTTACTAGCTAGGACTTTAGCAGTATACATGGATAAAGTCAAGAGTGTGCACAATGCCAGTTTTGTGCAATTCTGGGATGTTTTTTTCAGTGAAAATAGGTCGACGTGTACATGGATACCGTATGTGCAATTCTTAAAAATGCGGCAAGCAGCGGGCGATTCTGCACTTTCTCCCAATTTCGCACCTAATCTTCGTCATGATTAAGCACTTTTGTTCTATGAAAGTTCTAGCATAAGCGTAATTCGGCTAGCAGATTGTTGGAAAAAAATGTTGAGTTTTTACTTCGTGAAAACAAAATGGCGTAAAAAAAAAAAAAAAAAAAAAAAAAAAAAAAAAAAAAAAAAACTAGCAGGTTGGTTGCTAAAAAATCGCCAAAGTTACCATAATCCGAAGATTAACCGAAATATGCACTATGATCATAATTTCTGATCATTTGTCTCGAAGCTTTGATCATTTACATGTTCTATCAAGATGTTAAAGTTACCATAATCCGAAGATTAACCAAAATATGCACTATGATCATAATTTCTGATCATTTGTCTCAAAGCTTTGATCATTTGCATGTTCTATCAAGATGTTTTTGCATAACAAATTTCATCACAATCGTAAAAGACCTTCTTGGTGTTTTGATTTTTTTGCAAAAGAGTCTTATTATTAGCATTGATAATTGGTAGCTTAATGCATAATAAGTAATAAGATATTTGTTAATAAGTTGTCAATGTACACTGAAAGAAAATCTGAAGCATTTAAAAATAAGTTAATATTTGTATCCTAATTTAACAAATGATTTACTTAAAATAGTTTGTAACACTTGAAAAATCAGTTGTATAGTAAAAATCTTTTCAAAAACGAAGTATACCTTACCTCCTGCAAAAAATTCCCCTTTAACAAATTCTTCTACACCCAATTCCTCCACTCCGATACCGATTAAGCGCACATTGTGAGCATCCAATTTAGGTTTGATTTCGCTCAGCTGCTTTGCAGCCAAGCGACAGAAAGGTCATCCAAATCGGCGGAAAAAAGTGATCACACAATCTTGATTTTCCCATAATGATTTCATAGAGACCATCTAAAATATATTCATAATAACTTATTTATCTATAAAACTATCTTAAAAATAAAATTTGACAGTGTTCACTAATTTATATTTATAATAAAATTTTAATTCTACATTTATACCAAATAACTAAATTTACAGTCAAAATAAAGCAAGGAATTGAATTTTTGTTAACTATACACCAACATAATGTAACTTCAAAAAGTCTCATATTCATATATTTCCGTTTCTTAATATTAATTTTCTAACTGCCCACATTAGAGCTATCCAATAATCTTTTGGAAAATCAGATGAAAGTATTAAAATATAACTTTTCAAAGACATCTAAACTTTCAGTTAATCAAATCACTGCCCCTACTGAAAAAGGCCTTTCTTCAAAATTTCAGAATTCATCACTTAATTACTCATACTGTGAATTTTTAATAACAAATTGTTAGTTTCGAAAATTAATGAAAAGGAAGGGAAGGCATTTACGTGGATACATTTTAATCATTACATTATAATTTCCAAAGCTGATAAGGATAGAGATTGTCATTATGGGCAAACACACATACAGTGATGAAGTCAAGAAACTGCTCAATTCCTAAACATCTATGGCAGAAATCCTCATTGCAGTGAATGGCAACATTCATTTTTGCTGCGCAATATGCACATGGTATATGTGCTCACCATATTTGGTGACCTGCACATGATGGCAATGTTTTATCAACATTACACTCAATCAGAAGGTCATCAGGAAAGCCTAAGCATCACAAAACTTTAGCCAACAGTTAAAACCTATTTTTTAACATTTAAAAAAGAAAATCACATCTCGCAAGATGCTAAATATTTAAACAATAACTCAGACGCCAGACAATGGCCACACACAAACAAAATAGGATGAAAAGTAAGTAGTAAGTCTTGGCAAAAAAGTTCCAGTTTTTATCCTCGTGTTATGACGAGCATATGTGCATACTGCACAGCAAAGATGAATGCTGGCACTCATTGCAGTGAGGATTTCTGCCATAGATGATTCAACTTCTGACCTCAGGAAGTTAAAATAGCTGTTAAATCTTCTCATATGCTCCCAACTCAGTTTAAAATATCACTCATTTCACCTATTGTTAACTGTGCTGGTTTATGCTCTTTCTAAATACCACAAAAATAATTTTTGGCCTATAGTTTCCAGCTTAAGAACAACATCATATCATTTGACAAAATATTTAGTTTTTGCATTTTCTACTTTATAATAATATTCACACTGTAAAATATTCTTTTGAAATCGTCGATAGACCTATTTCAGTCGTCTTCTGTTATCAGGACCGGATTAAAAAATGTATGTATGAATGTAAGTGTATATTATGTATGTGCATATATGTGTGCGTGTACACACATATGTATGTATATATACAAATGCATACATTTCTGAATTTGGTCCTGATAACAGAAGAGTACCGATATTTCTCCCTTCCATTCTTTTATGATTTCTTTTGATGTTAAATCACTGTTTAATAATGTTTCAGTAAAATGTCTTGAACAACTAGGCTTCGAGAATTCCATTTTACACATACAAAGATTTAAGAGTTAATTTCTCTTAATAAAGGTAGTCTTTTCAGTCCTGCCCTTGCTGACATTTTACATTCACTATTTAGAAGTCAAATTGACTGAAAAACTTATCTTTTTGTCTCTAGATTCGTTACATAGACAACACTTCTGTGCTTTTTAGTGGTAATATAAAAGATTTATCCCAGATTTTATCCGTAATACATTCGATTGATTCAGCCATCCAGCTCACTTTTGGAAGTGAATCTGACAATATCTATCTCTTCCTTGATGTTCTAATAATCAATAATAAATCTAATTTCATAACTACTATTTATTACCACTAAATACTACTAAAATTTAAAATCATTTGGATTTGCATTATGCTGAAGGAAAACGCCCTTATATATATTTATTACTACTAAAATTTAAAATCGTTGGAGACTACATTATGTTCAAGGAAAACGCCTATATACTGAATTTCATGCATTTTCCCGAATTTATAACGAAATCAAACGTTAAGAGCCACTGGAGACTAGATTTCACAAAATTAGTTCATAATTTTAACTTAATATAATTACTTACTTCACCAGTTACAACAGATTTTACTGTATTTTCGGCAACCTTCTCTGCTTCGTTCATATTTTTAAGTTAAACGGACTCAACGGTTCTTTGACGGATATAACAAAGGAACGAAAACAACCACTTTCGGATTTGAACTTCCTTGTTTCGTTGCGCGTTTGGCACGCCTCCTGGATTTTAACCTGATTCATTCCATGATAACGTTCTGCTCGAGGGCATTCGCTAAGCGCATAATTTATGAGTATAAGAAATCTGATATGTATCTGGTCAGAAAGGAAAAAATAATATTCTGTTTTCGTATCCACCGAGTGACAACAGCAGACACCGCATGAATATTGAATACTATAATTTGATTAAAAAAGATTTCATACTTTTCCTCTGACATATTTTGGAAGTTTTGTTCTGTCGTACATTTTTAAATCTACTAATATCTATGATTTTTTTAACCATTAATGCTTCTGTTCCGCATAACAGATCTAAAGATTTATTAGAAAGTGCAAAATCTATTATTCGTGTTATTTGTTTATTTGAAGTATTTTAAGGTGCTTTCCTGTAGGTAATCAATGGAAATCATCAAGATTATCAAGAAATTGTACATTATGCCATTGCATGCAGACTAGTAATTTTAAGGAAAAAATTTAAGAAACTCGTATGTAATACTCGTATAACCCGTTTTTGCTGCTCTGCAGTACAAATCTTATTTAAGATTCCTAGTAGATAGTCGGTAATAAAACTAAATTGAAGTGAGAGAGCTGAATTTCAGTTAAATAATGCAATTCGTATTAAAAAAAGAGTTTAATAAATTTAATTGTATCAGTAACTGTTTCTCTAATGAAAATAATATGTATATTTCAAAAGAACATATCAAACACTTTTAGTTTTTAAAACTAGGTAACATTTGTGTAAATACATTATAGACAGCGTTTTTCAAGCTTGTTTAAACTTGGGGGGGGGGGAATAAAAACACTTAGAAGTTATAGGGTTCTACAGACCACCTTACACTTGTCCCCTTCAAAAGCAATTTTGTTAGGGTAAACTCCTAGTGTAAGGTACGGCCTTGGCGCGATTTTGAAAAACTGTCATCAACACCAAAATGACTCGTTTATATCATAAATAGCGCGTTTACTGCTCACAATAATGTCGCCAAATCCCGTGTTTATTGTAAACTGGATTAAACCTTTTCTAGCATGTGTATGTTTTTTAACATCAGTATGCTTATATTTTAAAAATACAATTAAATAAAATTTATTTAATTGTACGTTAGTTTTAATTAATTAAGTTAACAAATGAAAAATTATACATGTTTTTAAAATAATGCTAAGCTGTTATAATTTGAATAATCTTTATTTTAATAATTAAAAATCAAATAAATGTTGGTCCTCACAACTAATAAGAGGGATGAGTCCACCAATTCCTGCATACCTGCTCTATATTTGAATGTAAGCTCATAAGCTTAAGTCTGAGATCCACATTACATAAAGTTGATTTTGGTACTTTTTTTTTTATTTGATGAAAACAATTTCTTAAGCGGGTGCATAGAAGTAGATGGAATTATAATTATTAAACACTATTGTACTATATTCCATTTTCACTGGTAGTGAGGTCCGTAATACAACCATACCTTCTGCTTTAAATTTCAAGTCTGGTGTCATTAGAGAGAGTTCAGTTAACTGTTCTCTTTCATTCAATGGCAATTTGTTATTTTCAGTATTGCAATGGAAAGGCTCATAAACATGTTATAATGAAAACTTGTTATAATTAACCTTCTGAAAAAAGTTTTAAATTGTGACCCAGAGTTTTGATATGTGAATATACTATGTCACTGCATATGCTCCAATAACGGTATATTCTAACGAAGAAGATTCTAAAATTGGAAATAGTAAAAAATTTCTGTTTCACTCAACTACCCCATGAACCAAATTTTTTCACAAAATCCTCCACTTTACGTATTGAGAAAATTCAAGGAATTATTTTGTAGACATATTTAGATCATTTACTTCTGAGTGCATATCTGAGAGATATACCTCTGTACTTAGCCACATATCATTAGCTGAAAATGATGTAAAATCTTGCTATTTCATTTACAAATAATGACATTTTTGTAAACCTAGAAGGACTATAAGGACTTCAAGGATTACAATTTGAGAAACACTATGCTATAAGTAATCAAGTGATATTTTAATAAAATATTGCAGGCATGTAGAATTAAGAAAATATTAAATATCTAAACTCACAAAGTCATTTAAAATGTATTATTTTATGCATAAAATGAGTAATATCAAGAATGGCATAGAAAGAAATATTTTTTCCTCAAGTCAGGTTATATGAATAGGTTCTTATTTATTATTGAAACCATCTTAGAAGAAATCGCCAAACTCCGGCAACCATGCACATATCAGTTTTTTAGATAATCTATCCACTGTAACATTGCATTCTCCGACTCACCTTTTTCTTCCACAAAAAACTGCCTAACTGCACCAAGGTGTTTGTGCTAACATGCAAGTATATTTGAATATGGAAAAGTACTTGAGTGGAGTTACTTTTTATATTTCATTATTAAACTTTTAACCATTTTCCTTGATTTTTTTTTTTTTTTTTTTTGCTCTTACATATTTTAATGATCCTGAAGAAACTGCTTTACTGTTTTAAGTTTAGTACATTATTTATACTGATTAAATGATAAAGGATAAGTGTTAATCCATTTAAATGAGAAACCATATGAAATTATACTTATATTAAGTTATTTACATGCAAATCTGTGCAGTAATACCTCGGAAGTATGTGACAGATGAGACCAACGAAAAGTGCATAAATTATAATATTTAAAAGCGAAGTTAGACCTTCGCTTTTAAATATTATGCATGAATTTTTTGTCAAATAGGATCAAAGGCTAAAGTACT